AGCGCTGGCGCTCGGAACGCTTCTATCTGATCCACAAACCTCTGTGTACCCCGACTGGTGATCGCAGAGAAATCACAATACACCGTTATATTGGTTAACTTGTTTTTCTTCCTTGTCTTTTCTCGACTCTTGTCGATGGCCCTGCTTCACCAACTACTATCGCAGAGCACATCCGTCACGGCGTAAGTTTCATGCGGAAGGAGGTCCCTTTGTTTTGTTATGTATTATGTTGTCTTTGATGTTTTTTTTGTTTTGTGTTTGGTTTATTTTTTGGTATTTTGTTCTTCTTTTTCGTTGCGCCAGCCCAGTGAGGAAAGACGCGCTGAAGGAATCGGGCGGCCGTTTCCCCCCATCCGGGAGCTCTAAAGCCTACTCGCCCCATTGGCCCTGCCCCCCCTATGGGGGGGCGAACCGCGTTTTGGCGGCAAGGTCGGGAAACTTTTAGGTTGGAGGACGAAGCGTAGAGGGGAGAATGGGCTACCCCTGGTCCTATATGGTTGGCATCTGTTTTATTGGGGAAGGCCGTTGGGGACAAAGCCTTTTCACTTCCAGCAGGTATGTGGCGAACTCCTTCATGAAGCATAACTTCCACATGTCGCCCTCATCCACCCCAAAGTGACAGCGTAGACTCTTTAATACGGGGCAGCTCAATAGGTGCATGCCCGTCTCTTCACACTGTCCATGTTGGTTAGGTTTCACTACGCCCGGCCTGAATCCATGGCTGGCTATACGGTGCCTTGTGAGTCCATGTTTGCTGTGGCACTGGAATCCGCACGGGGGGCACGAGAAGGCAGACAGAGTCAAGTCATCAGGAGCATCCTCATGGAGCCGCCGGCGTTTTACCGTTACAGGAACCCCGTGGCCCTCATGATAGCGGCGGCAGTGCGGTCGAACGGATTCAAGAGAAGCGAACCATTTCAAACACACCAAGCATTGTATCTCTCTCCGCCGCTCGGGCGGTAGGGGGGCGGCTCCCTCGTTCTTTAGCTGCCCGTCCGTCGGGGAAGAAGCCTCCGTTCTCATACGCTTTTTAGGATGGGGCAATTCTGCTTCATCTTTTTCCTGCTTTATAGGAGTGGCGTGCAAGGTAGGGGGGTCCTCTCTCTCTCTCTTGGGGAGTTTTGGTGTGCTTGTGTTTGGGTCTTGTGCTCTAGTATTCTGTTCGCCGGGGTGCTTGTATTTCATGTGGCTTGCCAGTCCTCCAGCGTTGCCCATGGGTCTGAGACATATTGGGCAATATAATGTGGGCCGTGGTGTCACTGCTCGTGGCGGTTCTTCTGGGGAACGATGCTTGGCACGAATGTGGGATAAGAGCCCCGTCTTGCTTAGGGCTCCGAACCCACAGTAATCGCAGTGAAAAAGCAATGTTGTGGCCTTCTCTTCCATCCCCCGAGCTCGTTTACGTTCTGCGTTTTGGAATTGCTGGGGGTGGAAGTAGCGAAGGTGCCTTGTTGGCCCGGCCTCTCCTTTTCACGGCGCCGCGCATAAGGTGCAAGCAAACTCTTCCCGACGCCTCTTGGTGATCGGGTTGAGATCACTCGTTGTGTCCAGTGCAGTGCGTTTGGGCCTTGGTGCTGGGGGAGGGGGTTCTGGCGGGATGTCCGGCGGCCCCGCGGCTGTGGGAGGCTTGGCTTTCCAGAGTGCGCGGGCATATGTGAATCCATGTTTGCCCACCATGTGAACCACAGCGCTCGAACGACAGCCATGGCGGGNTGTGGGATGCTTGACTTTCCAGAGTGCGCGGGCACGTGTGAATCCATGTTTGTTGACCATGTGAACCACAGCGCTTGACCGACAGCCATTGCGGGTTTGACATACCGGGCAGTTGACCGGATCACGGAAACGCAAAGGCGCTGCCTCTGTGTTTGCTGCAGGCGTTTCTATTCGAGGCTTTTTGAGTGGGGAAGGGGGTTCTATGGGGTTGCACCACCTGCATGTATTTGGCGTGGTGGGCTGTAATACTCGCAGTAGCCAGCCGTAGCGGTGGGATACACCTGTGCGAAAACGAGCTAGGACCACCTCTTCTTCCCGAGTTAAGCTGGGATCATTGCGTGTCGGGTTCCAATGGCCGGTGATGCTGAAGCGGTGGGTAGATGGTTTGGGCAGCTGGCTACGTATGTGACGTTTGGCCAGCGCTACCACATCCGGTATCCACGTGTCCCCGCGCTGCGGTAGGTCAGAGGCCGTCTTCGCTTCCTTATCACATGCCTCATTCTTTGCAACGCCGCAGTGGCCAAATATAAATTGTAGCCGTACGCGTGCCTTGTAGTGTTGGAGGTCCAATAACAGGTTCCATATTATTCTCAATATGGGGTCTGTTACTGTCAGGTGACCTGTCCGGAGTGCCATGAGGAGTGACAGGGAATACGTGAAGACGGAGACTCTGCACGGCCGAGTGTTGCGGCGGGGAATGATGTCCAGCAATTTCTGCAGGCCAACTTGGAATGCAATAGATTCAGCTCGGCATCTACACGCTATTGGGTTTGCGCCTGCCTTTGCTTGGGCAAGGAGCTCTCCGTTGAGGTAAATCATGGCTGCTGCGCCAGATTTTACTCCCAGTTCGACAGAGCCATCCGTCCATAGTTCATAGTGGGGGCGATCAGGTGGCGTAGGTCCCTTCCGGCGGAAGTGTCGGGCTATCCATCTGGTACATGCGTGAAGCCTGACCTCGTCCGGGTCCTCCGCGGTGACACCTTCGAGCGATGTGTGAAACAGGACCCGGGATGCCCACCGTAGCGTGAGGGGCGTGAGGGGCGGGATCCTAGCTTCAATATGGAGTTCTGGGTATTGTGCCATGATGGGGGTTTACAGTTGTCGTACGGGGTGGTCAGCTGAATAAACCACTCTGGCGCTGTCACGTACCGCCCCTCTTCGCGTTTCGCACAGGATCGCATATTTGAGGCTACAAGTGAGTACCGTCGTACTCAGTGGCTGCAGGTTGGCCTCAAGTAAAGCATCTTCTGTGCGGCTACCTTTGGGAATGCCGGCGATTATTTTACAGGCTTTGTACTGCCCGGCATTAAGCGTTGTTCGCGAGGTGGATGATGCGTCCCAGTACCATACTTCTATACCATACATTGCTTTGGCCTGCACTAGA